GGAGCTCAAGATTGCATTGTATGCCTCTGCCGTCCAAGTTCGTATTGTGAAGAGATCTGCAAGATGCATCAGTTATCAATACAGATGTTCAATGGTAACTCTGCAAGAATACTCTGGTACCTCGCTTTGGGTCGACATGATTCTGAAGCGCTGTTTCCACGAAGCTGAGGACTTCGACGTAGTTGGCGATGGAGCCGTACATGATATTTTGGAAAATGTTCTCGTTGATGAACCTCATGATAGTTGCAACAATAATGTCTTCATCCGTTTCTGGAAAGACTGCGCCATGAACTAGGTCAGGATATTGGTGTATGACCTGCTTCAACTTGAGGGCGTCGCTAGGCCTCCTACGGGTAGCCGTCATCAGGTCTTCAACCCCCTTTTCATGGTCATCCAGATAGGGATCCATGAACTTGGAAACCCAATCGCTGATTCCCTCGACGAGATCATCGTATTCCTATCGGCCTGTCAGACAACTCTCGCTGGATGTCTCGGGAGATACTTACGCGCCCAACTTCCTCGGGAGTGAGCTCCTTGCGGTAGGGCTGAAGGCTAAATATGTGAGATTGAGCATCTCTGAGTTGTTCTTTCAAAGCCGCGTTCTCTGTGCTGAGCTCATTGATTTTTGACGCAAGAGGGGCCGTGTCTTTCTCGATCTCTGTAATAGTTGAGGTTACGGTAGACTTGATCTCGCCTATCCTCCGCTCTGCTCGTTCTACCTTCTCCTCGGCAATCTCAGCTCGAGCCGTTGTTGACTTGAGCCTGTAGCGCAGCTCCATGATTTCGCGGCGTAGCAATGAGTCATCACTGGAATCTGCCTCGCCTCCGCCGTCGCGTGCATTGGGGATAACATCTTTCTCGGAAAACTCTCTTGATGGCGACGAAATGTCAGCACCAAGATCGATCAGGTCGCATTCGACAAAAGAAGATGATGTTACTGTCGAAGAAGGCGATAGAGGATGACGAGAAGAATTGGAGGCGGGATAATGATTGAAACGAGTGGCAACAAGGCCTTTGGGTAGAGCTTGCCTGGGTCCGCTGCTCTGAGCCCCGTTCTCCGGAGCAGGTATCTCGACCTTGGTGAAGCCCATTTTGTCAGTGTCAGAAGTCGCGTGTGGGCTGACTGGGTCTATTGTGGCAGTTTCTTGATTCCCCGGGGCTTGACTGTAGGTAAGTCTCGAGTCGTCGAGGATCATGGCACCAGCATCAACGTCGAGGGGTCTCTTGTCCGGAATTGGTGGGCTGTGATCCTCGCGGTGCTGCGGAAGAGCCGGGTCTACCTGTCTGAGATCTTCCATCATGCCGAAAAGCAGTCCTGGAAAATGGCAACGATGAACAAGATGTTTGGATGAAAAGAGAGGTCCGAGTCTACCTGTGCATCAGAAGAAAGAATGACTTGGAGGCATGGGATGTTGCTGGAGGAGAGGCCTGAGGGAAGTTGCACGGACAAACCAAGGAAGATTCCAGTGTCTTGAGGAACCTACCTTATCCAAGGTCGGGTACTCAGGCCAGGTACCTTGCATATCTCGAAATGCCGCCTGTGGTGCTCAGCCCAAGACAAAAGTTCAAGGTCATACATCGAACCTTATTGTGTGATGAATCCTGGGGCTGGGAGGACTGCCCAGAATAGGAAACCTGAAAGAACACCCTCAAGTCTCTCGAACATCTTTGGCGCTTGATTTGCAGTCGGCCTCTCATGGGCTTGTCTTGGTATCAGTAGGAAGCAAGGCAGCTTTCGGTGAAGGAGGACTGTTGCTGCATTGGAAGCTGCCTGCTCAGTAACCCCGCCAAGTGGGGGCGGATAACGGCGGGTGGGGCACTGCTGAAATACGTACCTTTAAGGCTGACACCCTAGTTGTGCTCAGAAGTACCGATCCACTACATCAAAGTCACTTTCTTTAACAGGCATCCTGACCTTCGCCAGAAACAGCTCAACACGTTGGAGTGATGCTGGGAGGCAGTGAGGGTTGAACACTTTGGAACAACAGTGGCATAGTACGGACCAAAAGCTGCCTCATGAAGGTGCCTGAGCTACATGGCATGCCGGACGAGTATCTCGGCGCTTAGACCTACGACATGTCGATACATCCAGACGTGTCTGACAATGGAAGTCAGAAGCCGCATGAGCTTGACGCATAAGGCAGTGTTTCTCCAGAGGGCTGATTACTCGATTCAATGATTGATAGCTCTCGTTCATGTGCAGTCTTATTCGTGCCTCGCTTTTTTGTCTACCCTAGTCTGGTATAGATACCTCTGAAGTTTACCTACTCGTACCTGCCTCAGAAAGGTTGATCGGCCAGGGAAGGAGCTACAAGCAAATCGGAGCTTCCTTCCTTACCCGTTTGCGCAACGCCCCGTCAAGGACGTGAAGACCAAAAAGGTTCAGCCAGAGCCTCTTGCTGCCCTGCATCCTTCAAAACATCCACCCAAGCTTCATCAAGGCAGATTTTCTTCCGCCTGCTGACCTCTACGTGCCTTGCCCAAGCACATGCTTCCATCAAGCTTGATGAGACCCGGCTTCTGACATCGCCCTCCTTCCTACCACCTCAAGTTTTCCTCCTTACCTTTTTGCACCTCTTTCTCCTGCGACCAGGCCATCCTGAATAATTGAAATCTTCTTCACCCTCTTCTCGGGTCCGTCAAGCCTACTCGGATACAGCTTCATTTGGAAACAGACAGGGCTTCCACTACACCGACCCCAAGACTTTGATTTGTTCTGGTGGATGACAACCGAACCTCGACTTGCATCTGCCTTCTACATCCATACGCACTTGTTATCGCTTCTCAGCTTTGATACCTTCTGCAACACTCGGCAGCAACACAACGCCTAGTCATGGACGCCTTTGACTTTGGGCAGCTGTCCGTCAGCGGGCGCAAGATCATTGTCGGCATCGACTTTGGTACCACTTATTCAGGAGTAGCGTGGGCTGAAACCCAACGTCCCGATCGACGAACTGCCATCACTACCTGGCCGATCAGCAAGACCATCCGCGAGGGCGAATCTTCGGACAAAGTCCCTACCAAGCTGCGATATGCCGGCGACGAGGTTCAATGGGGCTTTTCAATCCCCGTTACTGCACCACAAGATGAAGTTGTCGAGTGGTTCAAGCTGTGAGTGCCTTCAATCCCAATCAAACTCGGCCTTGGCATAATGTGTCCGGATGTTATAAGACACAACAGAGCTAATGTATTCCAGTGACCTCGATCCTTCTCTCCAAAGCATGGGTCAAGCTGTCTCCTCAGAGGCTCGAGGTGGCCGCAATGTCGACAAGCTTGTGACGGACTACATTTCTGCCCTGGGCAATCATCTCGTCTACACTTTGAAGGAGAAGCTCGGAGAACAGGTTGTCAACACCACACCGTTGGAATTTGTTGTCACGGTGCCCGCTATCTGGTCAGATCTCGCCAAGGATAAGACCAAGCAAGCCTGCCAAAGGGCTGCTGGCCTCAACACTGTTACCAACGCTGTTGCTCCCATCCATCTTGTCTCTGAGCCCGAGGCTGCTGCCATCTATGCCTTACATGGCCTGGACCCACATGGGCTCAAGGTGGATGACACTGTGGTGGTTGTAGATGCTGGAGGAGGAACTGTGGACTTGATCTCGTACACAATTACCAGTCTAAAGCCTATTCTGGAGGTCCAAGAGGCTGCTCCAGGATCTGGTGCTCTGTGCGGCTCGACGTTCCTCAACATGCGCTTTGCCAAATTTCTGAAGGCTAAGCTGGGCAAAGAAGATGGATTTGACGACGAGATCATGGCCGAGGCCATGGAACAGTTCGAAAAGAAGGCAAGCTTATTTATAACTTTGATCACTCTTTGACCAGGTATCTTGACTAGAGCTCTTTGACTAACGGTGCACAGGTCAAGCGACAGTTCACGCTCGGCGCTGCTCCAGACGACACCTACACCATTCCAGTCGGTGGTCTGGCGAACAACAAAGAGCTGGGAATCAACCGTGGTCGTTTCGCCTTGAAGGCATCAGATCTCCAAACCATCTTCGAGCCCGTTGTTCTCGAGTGCATCAAGCTTGTCAAAGACCAGATCACAGCAAGCAATGTGCCGATTCGTGCTATTCTCCTTGTCGGTGGTTTTGGCGCATCCAACTATCTCAAGGAGCGTTTGCGCAACGCTATCGATAAGAGCATCCAGATCATGCAGCCACCCAATGCTTGGCAGGCAGTTGTTCAAGGCGCTGTCATGAAAGGTCTAGCTCAAGTATCTCCTGATAAGCTTACGCAGGTCAAGGTGCAGAACCGCAAGGCCAGGAAGCACTATGGCACCGAGTGGCGAAGCAAGTACGACGCCAAGCTTCACAAGCATCTCGAACAGAAGCGACACTGGTGCGGCTTGGATGGTTGCTATAAAGTGTACACCATGGAGTGGTTCATTCAACGCGGAGATAACGTGTCCGAAAACGAACCCTTCTACACATCGTTCGTGTGGACCGGTCTGGTCAGTCAGGGCCGCATCAAGAAGATCAAGATGGATATCTACGCAGATCGCAACCAGAGAATTGCGCCTGTTGCTCGGGATGAGAATGTTGCAATGCTCGTTCATGTCGAGGCTGATGTCGGACACATCCCCGAGCACATGCTCTCCCGCCGCCAGGGACTTGATGGCCAATGGTACTACGAGCTGAATTGTAAGATCGAAGCCGTCTATCTTTCGGCCTCAACCACGTACACATTGCTCTACAACAGTGAGTTTGCCTTTCACTGGGCATCTTGACACGAACGTTAACCCCTTCTAGATCAACGGTACAACACGGTGACGGCAGAGTATGTTTGATCTCGTTATGCTTTGGCTGCAGACGCATGTATTTGGGAAAGCACCTTCCATCTGGATACGCGACCATTTTGGGACAGGAGATTGATTAGCACATATGAAGAGGTAACAGTGTACACAACGCAAACATCGTGTGGCGTTTCCACTCCAGGAGCTCTGCTTCTCTGGATGGAACAATGAAGTTTATTGAATTCCAAGCCATATCAAGTATTTCATGCGCCCATATGACATTGATACTTGGATGAACACTTTCTTGATTGGCCAATACCATGATCAAATTACTTTGCTTGTTCCTAAGACGCTGATCGTTTTAACTCGGTCGTCAGAGCCTGGAATCCGTGCAAGGGATTCGTGGTTGCTATTGGCTATTTGGCGTTGTAGGGAATTAATCACACGTCTGGCACTGTAGACGGAATGACAATGGGCGGCGGAAGCGAAGATGAGGTGAAGAAGACAACATTGAAACATCGGGACGAAAGAGACAGCTGAGAGAACTTAGTTTCAAACTACCCGTCTGGGAACCTGGGGACACTGGATCTTGACTTGGTTCAGTCGGCTCACCTTGAATGTTCCCCTTCGGCGCGACGCATCCCCAGGTAGTCAAAAAGTTTTTAACACCAACGAATGACCTATGGATAGTTACTTAGACTACTGCAAACATGATCGCAGAGAGCTCTAGCTAACGCTGGCTGTACCCTAAAAGGGAATGGAACCATTTTAGCTGAATGCCGATGTGGCCGGGAGGCGTTATCAGTGGTCAAGATAGAGGAATCAGACCCCTGCACAAAATCTGACCGAGGCCAATTTTCATAACAATCAAGACCTCAACCCGGGATGCGCGACTTTGACTACTTTCCTCATCACATCAACAACTTCAAGGTCGCCGGGAAAGAACCACACGACAACACAACTCTAACGATCAACCACATCACTGCGCTGTTCGTAACCCCAGGTAACCCCTACAATCACGATGCAAACCAGATCTGACCCTGAACAGGTTGAAGGTAGAGGCGACGACGCCGCCCACCGCAAAGATGGCGACGAGCACACCGTCGCGGGCTGGCTCACCGTGGCCGGCTCGTTTCTCGTCTACTTTGTGTCCTATGGCTACATGAATAGCTTTGGGTACTTCCAGGACTACTACCTCGGCCATAGTCTGGCTGGGCACCCGAGCTCGGTCATCGCGATCATCGGGTCGCTCCAGCTTGGTCTTATGAACCTCATCCAGCCTGTCGCCGGTGGTCTCGCCGATTCGTACAGCCCGAGCATCCTCTACGCTGTCGCGGCTGTCGGGGCGATTGTCTCCAGCGTCGGCGTCTCATTCGCCCAGCCAGGCCACATTTGGCAGTTCATCCTCACTCAGGTATGTGCCGTCACTATTGCCCGACGTGCCGAGATCGATCTAACGTTAACAACAGGGCGTCATCTTTGGATCAACCGCCGTGTTTGGTACAGCGGTCTCCTTGCCTCTCGCTAGTCAGCATTTTACGAGAAGACGCGCATTAGCCATTGGTATTGTCGCTAGCGGGAGCAGCGCGGGAGGAGTCTGCCTCCCCATCATGTTCTCTCATCTTGTGCCACGTATCGGCTTCGGCTGGGCTTTGCGAATTGCTGCGCTGATTGCTCTAGTATGCTACGGGATCGCTATTCTCATCTCGCGGCCCAAGCTGCCACGCAAGCCTGTGAAATCCATCTGGTCTATTGTGGACTTCAATGGCTTCCGCGACCCCCGATACTCTACACTGGCGCTTGCTAATGTGGTCGGTAACTTTGGGCTTTACGTACCGTTCTACTACTTAGGTACGTGTTCATTTAAGCTTGGACAGTCTGACTCAATATGGCTTCGCGTTATTGTGTAAGCTTAAGGCAGACATCAACTGTGCCGTTCCAAGGTTGCAGGCTGTCGATCCAGAACTCGATGTCCCTACTGAATGCCTCTTGACCGCGGGCTGACGGATGATGCCCTCATTGAATACAGCTAACCTCTTCACCAGAGCCGTACATCGCGGTTCACCATCCGGGAGCCGCGGTGAGGAACTACCTTCTCCCGCTTATCAACGGATCAAGCTTCTTCGGCCGAGTGATGTAAGTTATCGAGTCGTCCAATGTGCCATCATGAGTTCCACACTGACGAATCCTAGCGGTGGATACGTAGCCGATCATACTGGTGGATTGAACCTCCTCTATCCGCTGACGGCAATTTCGGGCATACTCTGCCTTACCTTGTGGCTTCTATCCACCAGCGTCAGCATGATTGTAGCTTTTGCCTGTTTATACGGTATTTTCTTCTCATTAATTTATGCATGCATCAAGCTTGCGGGGTTCTAACTCGGCTAATCCAAATGTAGGCTTCTGCTCGGGAATATTTGTCAGTGTCACACCGTCCGTGACCGTCAGACTCTCTCCAACTGATAAAGTCGGTGCCCGGCTGGGCGCATTCTCCATCTGGAGCACAATCGGAGTCTTCACCGGCACGCCCATAGGTGGCGCTTTTGTCCGACGAGGCACGCCGGAAGAATATCAGCACCTGATCATCTTCACCGGCATGTGCCTCACTGCCTCCGCTGTCCTGCAGTTTGCGACGCGCATTCTCTGTGATAGAGATCTACGCAAGAAGTGGTAAAACTCTTCTGCTATCGGGCAACAAGGCCAGACACCACGAGGTTGGCTTGTCTTGCGGTCCGGCAGCGAGCCGGCAAGCGAAGTTGGGGGCTGATTTTGTTGGAAAAGATCAGGGCAAGGGAGGGTATGGGGAACGGTGGAGTGCAAGAGAACATACGGAGAGCCGAGGAGGATCTGCGCCAGGCAGGAAGTTGGCGATGGAGAGGCGGTCTATGATGTTGGGAGAAATTGGCATGGGGTTGAAATGTTGAGTTGGTTTATGGTCATGTCTGAGCCTTGGCTTCTACGGATGCTTACTTGGGGTGGAGCGCTGAGGTGCGGCATCCGCGTCGATCGGCGGGACTTCACGGAATCATCCGAATTGGATAGAAATCCAAGCCATCCGAACCATCTATGTAGTCTGCATAAGGTCTTCAGCCACATATAAAATCACGGATAGCATATGCGGTTCATAGCTTTTCGTCCATAGTCAACTGAATTGTGGTAGACATAATCCCGGTCGATGTTACTTCAAATATGGAGGCCCATGCTTGAATAGTTGTATGGATGCACTTCCACTACTTCTTGGCAGCCAAGGAATAGTCCAGCCTCCTCAACTACATATCAACAAATTACGTGGAAAGTCCCATATCATCAATGAGAAGAAACTCTCCCTGAAATGCTATTTGGATGCAGATGAATGGGAAGCTTTGACTCATTGGCATCAAATGGCCGCATCGCGATATTTGCCGGAGAGCGTCCGAGATGAACTGGCTCTCTGCCAGTAGGGGCACAAGGTAAGGGAGGCAACCGTACTCCTTACTAGAACAAAAAACATGAGACACAAGCCAATTATCTACGTCATAAAAACAAAAGCAGAAATAATTTTGGCACCTTTTTGTTCTTCTATTAGATGTGCTGATCTACATTTGTTAAATGGAGTAATTTCTCGCGGCACTCTGGAGCAATGCTCGGTGGTTTGGACAGCTTATCGTCCATAATCCAGACGTCCAGTCTCGATGGGACCTAATGCTTATATGATGAGTGAAGTCTTTATTTCATGAGTTTCATATTTGCAAACTGCGACTAGTCAAAGTCTTCGCGCGTTGCCTGGCTCCAGCAACAGCACAACTGTGAAGGTGCCTCAGAATCGGCGTTTGAGTCTCGGAAGATGGCCATCGTATTCCCCGGATAGCCGAGACTCATTTGTCTGCCGCAGTCGAATGCTTTGTGGCTGCCACATGAGTTGTGGATAGAAACCATAAACTTTTCTTTTCAACGTGGGAACCCTGGATAACCCGGCGCTTTCCGCACTTGCTGGTTCGCATGAATCCCGCTCACAGTCCCAATTCTTGACGATCGCTCATATTTCTGCCGTGACCTGAGGGACTATTCCACTTAATAGAGAAAGCAGAATGAGGCAATTCGCATAGTGAGGTGGCAATCCGTCTCCATGCTGCCGCCATTCAGGGGAAATCACTGCAGCCTTTGTGATATCTGACATGTTGGATGTAAACCTCTCGAGCGGTCAAAAGCAGTTGTGGGACATGACCTTATTAGCCTCCGGGTTATCTCTCGGGGGATATTTGTTCTGCTCGGCGCTTACGGTTGGAGAATTATCGTTTGTCGCCGGTCCCATCTGCATTTCGATTGCGTTCCACCTTACTCAAGCTCTGCTCAGGCAATCTGCGCGGACTTAGCCTGCAAACGAGGAAAACATTCAGAGAACAAGTGATACGGTAAACACGACGGGTCAGGTGGTGGCATGCGCTCAGGAAGACTTTGCAAACAAAGGTATCAGTAATGAGCCAAGAAACAATCTGAAAGTTGATTTTTGAGGCGAACTCACCAAGTCATTGAGTAAAAGCAAAGTGGACTTCAAAGAGGGGGGGAATGGAGTCGTGCTTTCGCCCGCTAATGAGTGTGGGCAGAATGAGGTTTATTATCGCGAAATGGAAGCACCTTTTGAAAAGTCAGTTTTATTGCTGCTATGCGTGATAAGAAAACTGCATAGCATCTGGCCACTGCGTCCTTTGGTCCGTGAGACTTTCTGTGCTATGGAGCTGACTTGCAGACTAGCAAGCTGGCGTTGAACTCTGTTAGATGCGCAGCGCACGAGGCACATTTCGCAACGTGTCTGGGTATGATGTAAGAATAATTCCACTTTCACGAGAAAAATGTGACAGAAGCAAACAGGTGAAGGGAGAAGGTTTTCGAGTTGGAAGGCACAAACCTGGGGAAGCTTAGGTTCCGTCGTTGCGCGAACGCCTATAGCCCCCATCTATATCAAGCGAATGAAGGTTTTCGGCAAACCCTCGTTGAGGCTCCTTCCGAACTTCCCACACACCACTCCACAGCTCTAGCAGATATACTATATTCGAGACAAGCTTATTTGAGTAGTCCTTCTAGACGCAATCTCTGTGAGTGCGAGCTCAATATGACGCCAGTATTTCGTTCCCAGGACAAGAAATGTTCTTCGGGCGTCCAACAATAGCGATCCTTGCCGGCGTTTGCCCCAAGTTTAGGTAGCCGTCCTATGTTTGACTGACTCGGCCGGCGGTCACCCCTGTTCTTGATATGTCACGGTGAACACAAGCTTTGATTGACAGTCTTGGCAGAGCCCTGCTGAGAACGCCTCCATTTGAGATATAAATCGACCAGTTCCCACGGCCTTGGCACTGGTTGAGATATCTCTCGAACTGTCACCAGAAGATCTTCTACTCTGATCATTACCATCCTTTGAGCTTTGGCTCGTCCATTCTTTTTTCGTTCACTCTCTCGTACTTATCGCCCTAGGGCACTCCGACA